AATATCATAGTCAAATTTGAGTGAGAGACCAACACCTTATATCAAAAGTCTTGAATTGGCGGGCGACGTGTCGCGTTAAAGTGGTCATGATGTGGTTGGAAGTTCTAAATTTGAGTGTTTCATTATTTTCACTTTTTCGCAACTTCTTTCAATTAACAAGGTATAATAACATATTGTAAATGGGACACTTGATATTGTCATGAAAATTAAATATTCTAAATCTCCGAAGATTCACTGCTTTTCAAATTAAGATGTTAAAGCCTTCTACAACTAATAAGAATGGTAAAATTAATTGATCTTAAATCAAAAGTCTTGAATTGTCCGGGGACGTGTCACATTAAAGTGGTAATGATGTGATTGAAAGTCCCATATTAATTAGATTGAAAAATTAGAGATTTTACATTATGTGATGTCGTTTTAATTGTTTGTACTAATTGGCTATAATATAGATGCTTCCTTCGCAAGAATTGAAATATAAGTGTTATTAAGGCTATAAAAGAATATAAAACTGTTGGAAATCCACCAATTCTTTATGATGAATTTCGACCACCACTGATGATTAGTTATGACAAACAAATAAAAGAACAATGGAGATATTTCTGCAGAATTTCTATTCTGCCCACAAACTGTGGAATCTTTATTATTCACTTTGCAACTGCAAAATACTGTGAATGACTTAATTACAAAATAGGGGTTACTCCCTCTATTTATAGATTTAGGTTAGCTTGCTCCCTAAGCTAAACCCAAGCCCAAAATATCTCTTTACTAAATCAAATATAATCTAGATTTAAATTCAAATCTATTTAAATCTAAACAAATCAAATCTTCTTTTGACACATATGAATTACAATTTAACACACCACCTAATTCATTGTGTCTAAACTGTCTATGTTCATCATGACCCTTAGCTTTCTGAATACTTCGACCTGCACTCCCTTCGTCATGATGTCTGCAATCTGATTTTCAGTTCTGCACTGTTCCAAATTCATCTTCCCATCTGCTACCTGCTCTCAAAGATAATGGAACCTCATTTCGATGTGCTTACTTCGACCATGTGCTATTGGATTCTTTGCCAGATTGATAGCTGACATGCTGTCTATCTTCATGGTAATTGCTCCATGATTTTTTCTTGTTATCTCTTCGACCAAGTTCACCATCCAGGTTGCTTGACATGCACAAAGAGAAGCAGCTATGTATTCTGCTTCACATGATGATAATGCCACTACTGGTTCTTTTCTCGAACTCCAAGCAATTGTTGCACCACCTAGCATAAACACATATCCTGTTGTTGACTTTCGATCTTCAACATCACTACACCAACTCGAATCAGTGTATCCCACTAACTTACATTCTTTTCCTTTATCAACTGTAGGAAACAAAATGCCATAATCGAAAGTTCCTTTAAGATACCTTAGTATCCTTTTCACAGCTGCTAGATGTGATACCTTTGGCTTCTGCATGAATCTACTTACCATACCTACGCTGTATGCTAAGTCAGGCCTTGTATGACAAAGGTATCTCAATGATCCAATAAGTCTTCTGTATTGGGTTGGATCAACACCATCTTCATCAGCATCTTTCGACAGTTGCAGTCTTGGTTCTGCAGGTGTCAAAGTTGCGTTGCATTCTTCCATCTCAAACCTTTTGAGAATTTCTCCTGCATATCTTCTCTGATGCATCATCAAACCTCTACTGCTCTTGTAGAATTCGATACCAAGGAAATATGAAATCTCACCCAAATCAGACATTTCGAATTCCTTGCTAAGGTCAACTTTGAAGTCTTCGATCTCACCCTTGCAGCTACCTGTTATCAACAAATCATCTACATAGAGACATAGTATAAGCAATTTACTCTTGCTTCTTCTTACATATACTCCATGTTCAGTTATGCACTTCACAAATTCCTTTTCCCTTAGAAAACTATCAATTTTCTTATTCCAAGCCCTTGGAGCTTGTTTCAAACCATACAGGGCTTTATGTAGCCTGTACACCTTTCTTTCTTCGTCATGTTTCACAAACCCAACTGGTTGTTTAACATAGACTACTTCATCTAAGGGTCCATTTAGGAATGCACACTTCACGTCCATCTGACATATGTGCCAACTGTTGATTTCTGCTAGACCAACAACCAGCCTGATTGTTTCGATCCTAGCAACAGGTGCAAAAACTTCGTCGAAGTCTATTCCTTCTTTCTGTAGAAATCCTTTCGCCACAAGTCTTGCTTTGTGTCGAGTTACTTCACCTTTCGAATTCGTCTTCACTTTGTATACCCACTTGACATCAATTTCCTTCTTGCCTTGGGGCAATTCGACAAGTGACAAAGTGTTGTTGTCTTCGATAGACTTTACTTCTTCGTTCATTGCTTTCACCCACTTCGAATCCTTTAATGCTTCAGCTGCATTAACAGGTTCGACATCTGCATAGAAAGCATAATGTACCAGCTCACCTTCATCATCTATCACATCATCTGATGTAATCACACAATCTTGCAATCTTGCAGGCATGCGTCTTGTTCTTTGAGGTCTGCTTGTTCTGGGTATATTTGCTGGCTCCTCTTGTCGAACTTCTCTTTCGACTTGAGTTTCTGGCTCTTCGAATAAGATTCCCACTGAATCTTTCTTGACATTTGTAGTCCAATCCCATTCTTTGAACTCATCTATGATCACGTCCCTGCTGATCACAATCTTCTTGTTCTCTGGATCGAACAACTTGTAGCCTCCTGTCGAATGATATCCAACTAGGATCATTTGACTTGACTTGTCATCAAGTTTCTTTCTCAACTGATCTGGCACATGTTTATGTGCAATAGATCCAAATACTTTCAGATGACTTAAGTTAGGCTTCACACCAGACCAACATTCTTCTGGAGTAATTCCTTCTAGCTTCTTTGTAGAACTTCTGTTCAAAATGTATGTTGCAGTCGAAACAGCTTCACCTCAGAACTCTTTGGGTAAATTCTTGCCTTTCAACATACTTCTCACCATGTTCATGATGGTTCAATTTTTCCTTTATGCAATTCCATTTTGCTGTGGAGTATAGGGTGGCACCACCTCATGCACAATCCCTTCCTTTTCACATAATTTGTCGAAGTCTTTCGACACATATTCTCCTCCACCATCAGTTCTCAAAACTTTGAGCTTTCGACCACTTTGTCTTTCGACCATGGACTTGAACTTGGTGAATACTTCGATCACTTCACTTTTCTTCTTGATCAGGTAAGTCCATAGCTTTCGACTGAAATCATCTATGAATGTAACAAAGTATTTGTTACCTCCCATCGAAACCACATGGATTGGTCCACATACATCAGAGTATATGATTTCGAGACTAGCCTTCGATCTGCTTCCTGCATCCTTGCTGAAGCTATTCTTGTGTTGCTTCGCCTGCACACATTCTACACATACTTTGTTTGGAATATCAATTTCAGGCAATCCTGAAACCATATTTCTTCTCTTCAAATCTCTGATGTCTCTGAAGTTGAGATGACCTAGTCTATAATGCCATATCCATTCATCTCTGCTAGCTGCAGTCGAAAGACACTTGTGTTCCATCACATTTAGTTCAATCTTGAAGGTTCGATTCTGAGACATAGGAGCCTTCAAGATTACCCTCCCATTTGCATCAACAACTCTCATCAACTTATCTTCGATTGACACTTTATAATTCTTTTCGACCAACTGCCCTATACTGAGCAAATTGCTCTTCATGCCTGGTATGTACAACACATTCGAAATTACTGACTTCTTGCCATCTTTCCTCATGATCATAACATCACCAATACCTTCAGCTGCTAGGGTGTTGTCATTTGCAAATTTTACCAAATTTTTCGTTGAGGGTTTTATATTGACGAACCAGTCTTTCCTTCCAGACATATGTGATGAACATCCTGAATCCAAGTACCATTGGTCCTTGAATCTATCTTCATCTCTTGTTGTGACCATTAGCATCATCTCTTCTTCTTCTTCATGTTTTGCAAGCTTTGCATCACTTTCTTGATTCTTTCGTTTTTTTGGACAATCACTTGAATAGTGACCATACTTCTGACAATTGTAACATTGAATGTGACTCTTATCAGGTTTTCGACCACCACCTCTTCCTCTGTTTGCAGCACCACCTCTTTGGTTGCCGTGGTGTGGTCTTCTTTGATTCGATACATCTCCTTCGATTTGGTTTCCTCTACCATTCGATTTGTTGTAGCCACCTCTACTTCTGTCGAAATACTTTCCTTTGCCTTTGGTTTCTTTTGCTGAATGTGCCTGCAAGGCTACATCACTCTTTGATTTTCCTGCAGCTCTTTCGTTCATTCTTTGTTCATGAGATTCGAGCGTCCCTTGAAACTCTTCTTTTGTCAATTTCGACAAGTCTTTCCCCTCTTCGATCGCCACCACTATGTGGTCGAACTTAGGAGCTAACGATCTCAAGATCTTCGAAACAACAACTCTTGTTGTTAATGTTTCTCCACATGTCTTGATTTGATTCACTAGTTTTGTAACTCTAGTGAAGAAATCAGATATGTTTTCACTATATAAAAGTGTCATGAATCAAATCCACTTCCGAATAATCAAATACTTCAAAATCAATTATATTTTTAAAATATCAAATACCTTAAAATCAATTTTAAGTAAATCATACGTACACTATAATTTATTTTTATAAATTTAAGCAAAGCCGATTACTAATTTGTATAAGGGATTAAAACGTAAACAATTTACTGTCTTGTTTTAGTCATCAATTATAGTTCCCTTCTGTTATGCGTAAATATCAACTTTTGTTTTTGCTGTTGAAGAGACGACATAAACAATCGAAAACAAAATAGATAACAATCATAACATAAAAGAATAAAATGTACTCGTATCACACTTTAAAATAATAAATAGATTACAAAATTAATCAAATGAATGAGTGATAACACAGAAAAAAAAAAGAGTAAAAAGCTCACGATCCATGTATATCCATGATTAAAAACAAAATAGATCAAATTAAAGAGTAAGAGTATCTCTCTAAATCATCAAAGCAGCAACGAAAATCACAACGGCGGCAGATCCGGCGACGGTGAATCTGTTAAAAGCGGCGCCGTTTTGGGAAGGTGATGGTGTTTGAGATGGAGGAGAAGAGATCGCTGATGGAGTGACAGCAGGAGTGGCGGCGGGAGTGATAGGAGGAGATGGTGGAGAGTTGACGGCATCAGGTGAAGGAGATGGAGCGTTCTTCACAGGTGCGGAAGGAGCCGCCGCCGGTGAGTTAGCGGAGGGAGAAACAGCTGGAGATTGAGTCGGAGTGGCAAGAGGTGATTTGGTGGGAGATGAAGATGGAGATTGAGCAATGGTGGAACTCACCAACAATGTAGCAATCACCATCAAAACGACAGCGTAGTGAGCCATAGTAGAAAGAAAATTCAACCGTGAAGAGATTACAAAGATTGGAATGTTTGAGAATTTGAGAGAGTGTGAAGAAAGGGTTAGGAATGGAAGGGTGTTTATAGAATGTAACCGCGTGAACACGCGTTTTCAGGGTGAGTCGTTATGAGCCGTTTCATATTCTTTTTTCAAACATTTATTTTGCTTTTAAATTTGGATCAAATCGAAATTAATCTAATCCTAATTTAACTTTTGAAAAATTGATTTATAAATCAATCTTAATCATAGATATTTAACAAATCAAATTTAAATTTTAAAGAAATTTACTCTTACCTTTGTTCGGTTACAGTTTATTCTCAAATTATTATTTATTAAATTATTTTTAAATGATTTTTTTATAATGACATATATAAAACATAACTTCATTTTAAAAAAATATAGACAAATACATGTCTATACATGTTATATAGACACATGTTAAAAAACACAAAATTAAAATATTAATATCGTAATTTGTTATATATGAATAGACAGATGATGTAATATATATTTTGTAAGTTTAAGAATTTAAAGAAATATGTTTTAAAAATATTTTTTATATTTGAAATCTTTAAAGAATGTTTTTGGAACACTCGTTAACATAATTTTAAAAATATTTATTCAATTTGTTCAGTTGATAAAAGAAATTTGTGAGTAATTGATAAAAAAAAAATATTTACACAATTAATTATATATTTATATAGCAACTGTCAACACTAAGCTAAGATTGGTCAAAATGATACTGAGATTTTCCTTAAAAAATCTTGGGACAACATGATAGACCAAGGGGAGATTGAAGAAATATCAAATGTAGAAGGATTGGAGAATTTTATAGAAGTAAAAATCAAAGCCCAAAGGAAGAAGGGTAGTTAAGATTGGTCAAAATGATACTGAGATTTTCCTTAAAAATTCTTAGGACAACATGATAGACCAAGAAGAGATTGAAGAAGTATCAAATGTAAAAGGATTGGAGAATTTTATAGAAGTAAAACCAAAGCCCAAAGGAAGAAGAGTAAAAGGAAAACGAAAAATAAGGAGGGTTTTTTCACCAGACCAATGTCTGGTTTAGACAAACCTTCCTCGTGAAGTGTTTATACTGGAACATACGGGGCATAGCCAAATCCCCATCAAAGTTGACGCTTAAAGATCTGATTAATTCTCAGAAACCTGAGTTCAACATCATTACTGAACCCTGGATGTCCCATCTTAATTTCTCCCCCGTCTTCTGGAAAAGGCTAAACATGAAATTGTTTGTAGTCAATGACAAGAATGTTCTTATGCCCAACATCTGGTGCATTTGTAATAACAATAGTGACCCCTAAATTCAAAGTATCTCTAGTCAACATGTGGCTTTTACTTTCAGTTCTAATAACAAAACCTTTAGTTTTGTTGCGGTTTATGCCTCCACTTGCTATATCAATAGAAGAGCCATTTGGGAAGTCTTAACCAATTTAAATGCTGTCAACTTACCCTGGTGTATTGTGGGTGATTATAATGCCATTCTCGGTGCCCATGAACATAGAGGCTCTCGGGTTCCTAACTGAATCCCTATGATGGAATTTAAAATTTGGTCTGACATCAATAATCTGTTGGAGATTCCTTCCAAAGGTAGCTTCTATACGTGGTATAATGGTAGAGATGGCAATGCTTCGGCAGAAAGGAAGCTAGACATGATATTTTGTAATAATAATTGGTGCAATCAAAGTCAGGATATGCAGGCTATTGTTCTTCCCATGACTCAATCGAATCATCACCCGCTTTTATTGGACTACTCTTTCAACCAAGTTAAATTTAAGTCCCAATTCAAGTTCTATGGTATGTGGACTCTACACTCTTCATGCAGGGACATGATTGCTGACTGCTGGAAATTCAGGTAGTTGGTTGCCCCATGTGGATTCTTACCAAGAAGCTTCAACATCTCAAAGATTTCCTCAAAAAGTGGAACTGGGAAACTTTTGGAAATATTCATGTCAAGGTTCATAGTCAAAAAGACAAGCTATAGAGTATTCAGGAGCAAATTTCCTCTAAAGGCAGAACTCCCATTCTTCGAAGTCTGGAAAGGGAATTTTAATCTGAATTGGATATCATCCTTAAACAGGAGGAGGTTTTTTGGGCGGAAAAAGCCAATTTAGACTGGCATAAAGATGTAGACTGTAACACGGCATATTTCCACAAAATAGCCAAAATTAGAAATTCTAGAAATGCCATTCCTCTCCTTATGGTTGGTGATCAAGTTATTACGGACAAGGACGATATGACTGGTATTGTTGTCAATCATTTTACTAACCTTTTATGTGTTGCAGGGACAAATAATAATCACTCAACTATTTTAGAAGTCATCATTCCTCTGGTTACAGAAACATGAACAATATGTTGATCTTAACTCCCTTCAAAGAAGAAATTCATAATATGGTTTTAAGTCTCAACAAAAACAACGCTCCTAGGCGTGATGAATTTGGGGGAGTTTTCTTTCATAATTATTGGGATATTATTCATGTTGACGTCTGTGCTACCGTGATTCAATTTTTCAATCACGGGTGGATTCTCCCCAACTACAATGCCGGCAAAATCATCCTCATTCCCAAATATCCAAAGGCGCTCCCTATGGATTCTTTCCGCCCTATCGTGTTGTTCAACTTTAAATTCAAGATTATTACTAAGATTCTCACTAACAGGCTATCTTCAATTGTGCCTTTTCTTATCTCTAAGGAGCAATGCAATTTCATTCACAGTAGGATTATTTGGGATTGTATTTGCCTCACGTCCGAAGCCATCAACGTGTTGGATAATAATAATCGGTTTGGCAACATGGCCATGAAAGTTGATATTTCAAAGGCATTCGACACCATCAACTGGGACTTCATTCTTAAAGTGCTTGGTCGGTTTAGTTTCTGCTCTACTTTTAGTAACTCAGTCTCTAATATTCTATCATATGCATATCTTTTTATCTGCTTTAATGGGGAGTTACACAGTTATTTCAACTGCTCTAGGGGCGTCCGTCAAGGAGATGCATTGTCTCCTCTCCTCTTTTGCCTTAACGAAGACGTCTTGATCCGTATGATTAGAAAAGCGGTTATGGATGAATCTATTGATCTTATTAAGGCTTATAAATCCAACTTGGTTCCCTCGCATATTATGTATGCTAATGATATTTTACTTTTATGTACCAGAAAAGTTCCAATATTTGAGTGCTGATGAAGATTTTTAAATACTATTCTTTAGCTTCAGTCTAGAATATTAATCTTTCTAAGTCTTTCCTCTATACGGGTTCAATGTCGGATAGGAATAAGCTCTACATTTCCAACACCACTAGCTTTCAACTAGGATCACTTCCTTTTTTGTACCTTGGGGTTCCTCTTTTCAAAAGGAGAGTCAAGCAATCTCATATTGCTCCTATTGCTGACAAAATTATTGCAAAGTTATCTAGCTGGAAGGGCTCTTGTCTTTCTATGGCTACATATTGATGCTTGTAAAATCTGTTATCCTCAGCATGACAATGTATTTTATTAATATTTACTATTGGCATGTCTCTATCATCAAAAGAGTCGAGAAGGCCTGCATGAATTTCATATGGACTGGCAGCATCACTAATAGATCAATGTGTGTGGTCTCTTGGAAGAAAGTTTGTCTGCCTTTTGCTAAAGATGGGTTAGTTTTGAGGTTGCTAATTTGTCTTAACGAAGTCGCGAATTTGAAGTTGCTTTGGGATTTTCTCAACAGTAAGGACGATTGGACCGTCCTTTTAAAGAATAGATTTCTTAGATCCTATGGCTTCATTAAGTATCACATCTTGTCTTCTATCTGGACCAACATTAAGGCGAAATCTCATACGCTCCTCAACAACTCCTGTTGGTATATTGGTTCTTGTAGCAATGTAAAGTTACAGAATGACTCTTGTTAAATTGTAATTCATATGTGTCAAAGAAGATTTGATTTGTTTTAGATTTAAATAGATTTGATTTAAGTCTAGAATAGATTTGATTAGATTTGATTTAGTAACAAAAAGATATTTTGGGCCTTGGGCTTAGGGTGTAAGCTCAGTTATAAATAGAGGGAGTAACCCCTATTTTGAAAGCAAGTCAAGTAAGTCATTCACAGTATTTTGCAGTTGCAAAGTGAATAAGAAAGTTTTCCACAGTTTGTGGGCAGAGAGAAACTCTGCAGAAATAATTGTCTTGTCTTATTTTCTTTGTTTTTCTCATAACTAATCATCACTGCGGTCGAAATTCATCATAGTCTTTTGGTGGATTTCCAACATCTGGTATCAGAGCTTTTGTTTCGATTCAAGGGAAGTGTCAATCAAGAACGATTGAAGAATTCACGATGATAAGTTATGGGAATGCAAACTATCCAGCAACGCTGCCAATTCTGAAAGTTGACAACTATGAGAATTGGTGCAAACAGATGAAAGTCCTATTAAGGTGTCAAGGTCTTTGGGACCTTGTAAAAGATGGAGTCGAAGCGCTTGGCGAAAATGCTTCAGAAGAAGAAAAGAAGAAATACACAGAATCTGAGAAGCTGAGTTATAAAGCATTATTTATAATTCATCAATGTGTCAGCCCATACAATTTCGAAAAGATTAGTGATTCAGAATCTGCAAAAGAAGCTTGGGAGATCCTTGAGAAGTCTTTTGGAGGCACTGAGAAGGTGAAAGAAGTTAGGTTACAAACTCACAAAAGGACCTATGAACTGCTTCAGATGGAAGACAGTGAAAACATATCTGATTTCTTCACTAGAGTTACAAAACTAGTAAATCAAATCAAGATATGTGGAGAAGCGTTAACAACAAGAGCTGTTGTGTCGAAGATCTTGAGATCTTTAGCTCCTAAGTTCGACCACATAGTGGTGGCGATAGAAGAAGGAAAAGACTTGTCGAAATTGACAAAGGAAGAGCTTAAAGGGACGCTCGAATCTCATGAACAAAGAATGAACGAAAGAGCTGCAGGAAAATTGAAGAGTGATGTGGCCTTGCAGGCACATGCAGC